CTCTGGATGGTGGCCTGGAGCTCCTCCAGCTGGCATGTCAGAGACCCCAAAAGGGAGCAGACCCCACAAGGGGAGGTGGCTATGCTCCTGGGCCCCAGAGCCTGAAAAAGCAGCAGGCAGCCCCTGCAGCCAAGAGCCAGGAGCTCTGTCTGCCTGGAGCTTGGAACCATGGGCTCCATCTGTATGATGGTCTCTGAGGTGCCGGGGGGGGGGCCACAGACCCTGAGGGGACCCTCGGGGTGCGGGTGTGCCCATCCACATCATGCCTCTGGTGCGCTGACTGTGGCTGGGACTGTTTACCCTGGGGGGACTCGCAGGCACGGCCTCGGGCCCTCCTGCGCAAACTCCGGTGCTAACTCGTGTGCTGGGCCTAGGAGTGCACCTGTTTGCATGGCCTATGCGCAAGGGCAAGTAAAATGCATTTGGGCAAGTAAAATGCATGTAGGTCCTGATCCAACAAATAGTACATAAACACTGGCTTGCTTAAGTCAGAAGGACATGCTTAATTTTTAAGGTTCTGCTCAAGTGCCTTGCTGAGTCAGGGTCTTAAAGATGGCATAAAGGAATAGCTTTGCTGCCCTACAGGACTGCAGATAGGTCAAGGAATGTCCCCCCTCCTAGACCAGTGTAGCTGTCCTATACCAGCTGCTCCTTGGAGGTCCATTGGTGTGCACTGGGATCAGCAGAGGCTATGACTGGAGCCTGGCACACTCCACAAGTCTTTGTAGCTTGCACTAAAATCTGAACGACTCCATTTCCCAGGTACATCCAACAGAAATGTTGTGTACCTGGTGATCCAACCCCTGGAGTTTGACCACTTGATGTGCCAAGCCAAAGGGTCTTCTCCCTATAATCTTGCTCTTCATTTTATCAGTTTGTTCACTATATATAATTTGTGTAGGTATAAAAGGGAGGGAGAGACGAACAGACGAGAGAAGGTTGATGAAGAAGATTGAGATTTCCTGTTTCCTGGTCATAAGGTTTTAAATGCACCTTAGTTCATTTTTTACCCACTGAAAAATAAAGAAACTTCTTGACAGCATCTTTGAGTCTTTCTTATTCTAATACACCTGTTTGAAGGGAAGTCTATGGAACAGGAGTCTATCAAACTTGGTATTGTATTCTTACTTTAGATGCCCATTTATGGAAATAGCAGGGTAATAATTTTCAGTAAAGAAGTTACTCTCCTCCTGTTCACAGGATTCCTATGAGTGGATGATTAAGCACACAGCTCTGTCAGTGCTATGGTATTAGCAACCCTGAAAATGACTGGCTCGTCTCCCTTTCAAAGCTTCTAATAGTCTGATTTCTGTCATGGTTTAGCTCAGTGTGTTTCTTCTTCATAAAGTATGCAACTTATTCCTTCACTATCTCTATTCTGAACAGGTCTTTTTTAGGAGCATGACAATCAATGCAGTGAGAGGATTTCCGATGAGCGCAGCCATGTTTCTTGGATATGAACTTTCACTCAAAACAATAAGAGGAGTCCAAGCTGACATCAATCCTTGACATCCAGGTCAGCTTCATGAGGACCTTCCAACACTATTAACATTAGAGAATGGAACTTCCTGTAGAAGTTATGGTTGGTGTAAAATTTCTGAGAAGCAAAATGACTACTAAAGGAACCAAATCTGAATATTTAGGATCCTGTCTTTGAAAATCTAGGCCAGGGTGACTTGGTGAAAGTCACAGTAGATCTCAAAAATACTTTGCTCCCTCTTTTTCATTCTAGGGTGCAGACAGAAGTTAGGTTGTTCACATAATCGCCCCCCGAAAGTACTTTACAGACATGCCATGACACGTGCATGGCTGCAGAGTTCTTTTTAAAGTGGCCAATTGCACAACAAATTAGCCCTCATCAAATGAGATATCAAATGAAGGAGGCCCACTTCAGAGGATATTAGGGAGTTTTGTGTTCCCTAGGTTAATTTGTCACACAATCAGGGCTGAACTCTGGACTGATGCAACCCAGCCCTGCCCCCAGGAGTTGTCAGCAGGAAGGGAGGGTGAGGGAGAAGTGAGCTACCAGCTAGGGTATGCCCTTCCTGAGCTGGGGGGGAGGGATCAGAGCCCCCTGCCTCATGGCCTCCCTCCCAACCCTCCCTTCAGCTCAGGTGGGGCAAACCCCAGTGGGCAGCTTGTTTCCCTCCCCCATCCTTTCCTGCTGACAGCCCTGGAGCTGAGGTGGGGAGACAGGGCTGGGAGAGAGGAGTTGCTTCTTGGCTGCAGTAAAGTTCAGTTCCACCCCCAACCCTCCACCCAACAGGTGAACATCTTTTGGGTTGGGGGGGAGGATGCTGTAAGTCATGGTGCTTTATGTAAAGTGCCATGAGTTATAGCAGGGACCTGTGTGTCTGTCAGTACCTACAGAGTCTGATTATTGTGAATCAGAAAGGGAAACTTGATGAGAAAAAATGCCTGCCCTGTTCTTATGCAATGTAAAGAATGATGCTCATTAAAATCCCCATTCATTGACCCTTACTCACCTCCATCAATCTCAGAGCTACAAGACTGAAGTCTAGTAAAGTATCTGAATTATCACATCAATTTCACTCTTCTCTTCCTAAATAGAGGATCACTGCCAAAGAGCAATACTAAGAGTGTATTTGGGGAAGCAAAAGTTCCAAGCCTGTTCTGCTGTTGTGTGTGTGGTCTATTATAAATCTTTCTTTTTTTGTTTTAAAAGTGTCATCAAGAAGACCAGACCAGTGTCTTCCTTCCCGGAGCTAAATCAACGGTGTGGAACTGATGAGAGCCTCATTGGTGCTGGCATACGATATGCCCTGAAGAGCCCCATCAACATAGTTTTCTCTCCTTTTTGTGGACCTAGTCAATGAAGAGCGAGCTACAAATCTGCACCAGCTAAATCCAAATCCAAATCCAAATCCAAAGAACATTCTGTTCCTGAAATCTTTCTCTCTGAAGTCCTAAAGCACCTTAACAATTAATACTGTTACCTGGTTGTGATCTAGCCCTCTGCCAGTAATATGTGTTGCCAGTGAGCCAATGGTGAAACATATTTCCCCCTGACAGCATAAGCAGTCATTTGTTCCCAAAGGCTGGCAGCTGGTAACACTAGACTTAATGTTGTGTCCTTTCTATACATCATGCTCTTGACACATCATCTCCAAGAATGTAGGGCTTCTCTTTTTGTCAACAAAGATGTTTCACCTCCTTAGGTATCAAAGGAAAAATAGCTTATACCCTGTAGTTCTGCATTCCTTCCAAATCGTAGTTTGGATCCCAGGGACAAAAAAACTGGTGATCTATCCTTGTCTTTTGAGAACATTGTGCTACATCACACCGTTGCCAGAAGAGTTTGATGTGATTTCCTACAGTCTTTTCTCAAGAAAGGATTTGGAGGGCTTCAGTAACATTAGGAGGGCACAGACTGAGGGAAGTTCCGTGGGAAAGCTACGGGAATGCTTACTACTGTCTCTGATTTGCTAGTCAGTGCTATTAGTCCTCGTCTTTCATGAGCACCACATTTGATACACTTTGTTCTCTGCTTTCCCAAAATTTACCTAACTTTCTTTATAGACTTCTTTTACTCTACCTCACCATATACACTGATTGATAGGCCATGCAAACAAACGCCAACTCCTGCAGAACTTGCATTGCTTTTGATGGAGGTTCTGGTTGAGTAGGGTCTATAGGATGAGGCCCAAAATATTTTCTCTAAAGCACTGGCTTGGCTTCAGACCTGCTGCCAGCAGGTCTAATCCCATTTACAGCAACAGATGTCAGCATGAGATCTTAATTTGCTCTTCTGTGTCCATAGCCTCCTGTCAAGGTCTTGTGTCTTTACACTGCTGTGTCTAACTTGTAAAAATCTTCATGATGTCTTTCCTAAGGGGCAAGTTTCTGGTGCAGAAAATAGAGTAGCCACGGCAGACAAATGCAAGGCTTTTAATGGTACCCGTAGGTAGCAAGAGTGAAGTTGTGGGACCAAGATAGAGAGAGCAAAGGGACACCGTGTTCTGCAAGAAGAGCTGGGAAGGCCACTGTAATATGGAAGGTGCATAGTTTGCTCAGTCCTGTCTTTGAGCTTCTCCTGTGGGAACGTATAGACAGAAAAGTAGCAACTGTAACTCAGAGTGCTGAGGGAATTAGCAGAGGTCATTGCGGGACACCTGGCACAGCTTTATGAACACTCGTGGTGCTCTGGCCAGGTGCCAGAAGACTGGAAAAGGGCCAATTTGGTAACCATTTTCAAAAAAGGGAGGAAGGAGGACCCAGGAAACTACAGGCGCATTAGTTTTACCTCAGTCCTGGGGAAGCTCTTTGAGAAAATTACCCAGGTGCACATCTGCAAGGGGCAAGCAGGGGAGTAGTTGCCCCTAAGCATACAACATGGGTTCATTAGAGGCAGGTCCTGTCAGACCAACCTGGTGGCCTTCTATGACCAGGTCACAAAATCCTTGGACACCACATGTGTCGCAGTGGATGTAGTCCTTCTGGACTTTAGGA